GCACTGTAATCTTCGATTGCTTTCCTGAACAATGACACGATGCCTGTGCCCCGATACCTAGTTTTCAAATTACCTTGTATATGGTACATGCAATACCCGTGATATGCCCCGGGAAAAACTTCAGCGATAACGTTTATTATAGACTGTCCCCGATCGGTTACAAAGGCAAGGTCTTCGACTTCCCCGATCACTTTTCTCAGTTTAGAAAAGAACCAACGCACGGATAGATCATTCTCGCTGTCGACTATGCCGAATGCAATAGGGTAAATTTGGATGTTGGCGTCTTGATATGTAGCAATAATTAATTTGCCTTGATATTTAGCTTTCAGAATTGTATCATCAACTAGAATTACGGGTCGCATTGCATTTCGAAAATCCCGAATACATTGTCCGAGAGCCATGAAGAAATACTTAAAACAATTATCGCCCCCCGTCTCAATAAAAAATGCCGTGCCAAGATTAATTGTCCCCATTTTATGGCAATACCTAGCCAATTTAGCATAGCTCTCTTCAGCCGATCCCATTAAATCCTCCAACACACATTCTTTAGCCTTCTACGATTTCTGGTAGCTCATAACCACTCCGTACTCTCGACGGACGTCATTAATGATGTCCGAAGGTCTGTAGATTGTCCATGGATCCTGGTACTTGTGCATTATCTATCGACCAATAAACCATGCTCGAGCTTGCTTGTGATCATTTCGAAAAATTCCCACTTCGCAAGTATGTTCCCGTGAATACTTGCGAATTACGAAGCACTCATTCGTATCCATCTTAGTTGCTCTCAAGCGTCAATTGCAACTGTTTTCGACGCAAGCAACTGTCAACAATGACTTGTTTGATTTCTTTACCTTGAACTCAAAATTATATTTTAATGTCAGCCGGTGCACAGCTTCCTGCAAATCTTTCTTGGTTTCAAACAGTTGCTCGACCTGCAAGTCCTCATCATCAGGAACCACACGGGAAGAATTGAAGGACGGTCCACTTGTTCCAACCTGTGAGATCTCACCCGGCTCGTGTCTCTGACGGGATAAAACAATCAAATTCTCATTTGTAAACTTGTTTATATTCTCATTGTCTTCAATTGTCGACGAAATTCTGCGCGTAACAGCAACATCACGATCAGAAGCAACTGTCTCAGGAATACCCACATCATTCGCAGGAACTATCTCCACTGTCTCCCAAAAACCTCAATCATTGTTATCCGCCCTATCTGAATCTTTGCGTTCACCTTCGATAACATCCTTCGTAATTAAAGTCACACCAAGAATAGTCGGAATCCGATGCATTTTATTCAATTCTAATAGATAATTCAATTCAGCATCATTAGTAACGAATACTTGTGGCATCAGAATGGATGAATCCCCATAACCGTTGAATAGATATCTCAATTGCATATCGTATTGAGATTGATCGACATTCAGCTTATTTTGCAAATCGTGGTACATTTCTCAATATGGTGTACTCTCTGTTATGAGAATTGCAATATAACCACGTATGTCACTCGTCTATCTCCATTCCCACCGATTATTTTCATTCAATTCGAAATCACCGAAATAACAGACGGGGATTATCATATCTGCATGAGGAAATGATTTTAATCAACTTCATTTATTAATTATAAGAAAAAATTGATGCCAACAAAAATCAGTGCAGAGTCGGCTAATTGGCTGTTAAACAGCCAACAGTCGGCTATTTGGCTGTTAACAGCCAACACAGCCGACTGTTTGGCTGTTTTTGCGCAGGAGAATATGGTTCTAAAGAAAAATATTATACATCTGTTCAATTTTTTTGATAGGTAAGATCTGTTAAAAAAAAATTTATGCTAGCTACTATGTCGACATAAAATTTCTCTATTCAAACGTATACTAATTTACTGAAAACGAAATTAAATATGCGTAAATGTACTTACCGATTTGAAGTAATTGATATGAAAAAAATTTCGGCTTCAACGTTTCAAAGTTTTTCTAGATTTTGAGGTTCAAGCAGATGAAAAGATGAGAGTTTTTCCTGTGTTGGAAGCTCGTTTTGAAGTTTTTATAAGTGGGAAAGTGTTTGGTTTTCAATTATTAACTAAAAGGGTAGTATAGTCCTTTCAACAATATATTATTTTGTAATTGTACAAAACATTTAAGGGCATCTTTGTCTTTTACCATACAAGAGGCCAATGTCATAATATTCATGATTTTGAAAGTCAAAGTGAAATTTAGGTCCTTTGACTGGGTCAAACTTAAAAGTACCCCTTCCCCAGAATCAACAAGAAATATAGTGTTAGGACACATGAGTCAAGAGGAGCCTATCTCAACCATTGAATCCTAATGGACTTATAATCTGAAACGTCACGAAATCTCAACTGTTAAAAAATGAAAGGACGTAAATGAATGACCAAAAGCAGTCATGTGTGATGCATGTAATGGGAAAAGTCAAAGACGCATTCCTTGAGATCAAGCGGGAATAAGCATTAAAGAATAAAAAAAAAATTCATGTAACCCTGAGCGTTAATTGTCAATAAACAAAAATTGGAAAAAAATATAACTGGGCGAAGTCATCAAAAAAGTTCGCGGCTCTATGACATTATAGTATTAAGTCTTAGATTTAATATAAATAATAAAATCGAAATTCGAGACTATTTGTTTAGCCAAAAATACACTGCGAACCTTGCTCTCTACTTGTGAGGCATAAATGATGCAAAGGGGAAACCAAGTGTAAGAGGCTCACACAACGTAGGCGAATTACTCCCCATCGAGGTTGGCTAGAATCTGTTTTTGAAGCGTACATGGATGAGTGAGTAAAACATGATATTACAAATAGAATCAGTTACAAATTAGCAAGGGGTTGCTATCTGTCATTTATTCTCAATGACTGAATTATCTCAAAATCTGGGGAGAAATCCATAAATATTCCCACCTCAGAAAATTAAAGCATGCAAAATCAAATATCTCACTTTCAAATAGTCATTTTTCAACTTACTTCGGTTTGATTATTTAGATTAGTAAGTGTAGGAGATGAAAATTCTAGTTAAGTGTTGTTGATTTTATATCCCGTAAGTGAACGAATCGTAACAAGTAATAGTAGACAGAAGAGTTCGGATTGTCGATCTCACAAGGATTATTTTTTAGCACTTATTTCAATTTTTCTTTAATTACTATTTGACTAAAACAAATTAAAAGTTGTAGAATTTGAGTTTTAATCTAAATTCTAAGAAATAAATGGATGCTCACACAATTGATTGGAAAATCAAATAATAAATGGATGTTAGGGCAAAATAACTTCATCTATTGATGATCTTTACATCTCAAATAAAGACTCAATTCTAATACAGTGTTCGGTTGAATTTTTCTGTTCTATTCAATTTACCCCTCTCGAATTCTCATTGAACATATTCAACTAATTAAATTTCATATCTCTATGCAAATTTAATTTAGTTAAACGAGTTCTTTATCCTAGGAATTCAATTATAACCGCAATAAATAGTATAGTTATCTCTACTCGTTATACTACAGTCTAGATCATAAACTCATATCTCTATTCGTAAATGATTCACACAAATCATCAAATTATTGATTAGATAATTTAATGCATTCAATTCATAGCAAAATCAATATATTGGAAAATTAAAAACTAAGAATTTTGATAAAAGAATATAAAGGATCTCAATTGATTACATTATTTGCCCTAACAATAAATTTAACTATTCATAATGCAAGAAGAAAAACAATCATTTGTCTTATAATATATCACCGGATTTGTAATAAAGATATATAAGAAAAAGTAAAATTCTTGCACCAAGATCTCTTTCCCCTTCCAATCAATACTTCAAATCTTCAATTGCTTGATATTATTCTCCTTGAATTTCTCTTTTGAATATCCCTTTATGTTGTCTTGCCTCCCAATGTATGGAAAACCCCCTCAAAAGGTCTGACAAATATGTATTTATAGGTGACCCCTCCATTTTGTGTAAAAAGTAGAGTTTTTATGAACTTTAAAACGGCCTAAAAACGCGCCATAGATGACCATGGCGCAGCGCCTAAGCACTAGAAGACAGTGCCTAAGCGTCGCGTCAATTTAACTACAGTGCCTAAGTGCTGATGGTGGCGCCTGGGAGTTATGATTACAGCGCTTACGCACTGCCTCTCGAGTTCAAATTTCAAAATTTTTTTTTCAGTTTTGTAGCGCCTAGGCGCTCCGAATGCAGCGCCTAGGTGCTGTCTTTCTGCTCCAATTTCCTTAATTTTGGTCTCTTCGTCCGCTTTAGTTCCTCCTTTTGCATCGCCTTTCCTAATTTTCAAAACAACACTAATAAACAAATAAAAAACGTTCTATACTCACAAAATCTAGCAAATAATCAAATTAAAATTGTGCAAGATTCATGAGTGAAACAAACTCATCATTAGGTGAGAGGAATTTATTGATTCGATTTCTATCGTCGAAATCCTCGTAACTTTGATGCATTAAATCCAAACACATAACAAACTTTCTAGCTGCTGCTTCTATAACTCACTACGGTCAGTGTTTTTATCACAATAGGAGCTTAATATTTGACTCTTCGATTGTTCATTTTCCAGACCTTCTTCTTCATCTCCTTAATTATATAAGTTATAGAGTTCTACAATTTCTACCAATTTAATGCTGCTATTTTGGTTTTTGGTATTACATTCTATTGTTTCTTCTTCTGTTGCTGATTGATCTTCTTCTTATTTGAAGATTTGATATACAACTAGGAAGGATTAATCCCCAGTGAAAGGTTTATATCGGAATTCAAACTATAGGTCTTGAATTCATAGACTGAATATGATAGAAAACAGAAGTACAAAAAAACCTCCAAACATCCAAAAGGTTCTGGACTAAGTTTTTGGAAGTTCTGAAGGCTGAGGATCAGTTCTGCAATTTTTAAAATAATTACCAAAACAAAACAAAACAAAACAAAATAAAAAATAAAAATAAAAATAAAAATCAGAGGGAGAGGCCTGAATCAGAGATAAAAAGATTAGACACAGAAAATATTAAAAAAAAAAAAAACACGCCGCCTTGGCTTCACCCAAACCTTCAATTCCAACACCCAATCCTCCTTCAGCTCACATCTCAAGTGCAGTAAAGAAAAAAATTCATCACTTTTTTTTTGTTGTAATTATATATTCGCACATACCTAAATATTCTCTATCTGTATATCTCACTTTATTATTTATTCTTTTTGAGCTTTGAATCTAAAAGAATTACCATCTTTTATCTTTATGGATCCATTTGATATGGTTTGTTTCATCACAGAGCTCCGTAAAGGTATATACGCCCAGATCTTATTATATTACATCTTTTTCACTTTTTAAGTTAATGTTTTTTGTTTTTATTTTTGGGTCAAAGTTTCAGAGATCTGTTTTGATGTGTTTGTTTGAATAATTGCAGTATGTGGCTTTTGTTGCTCTTATTTTTTACTTGATTTTTATTTTGTTTTAGAGGCGATAAATTTGACCAGGACCATTCTGGGGTTTTTTTGTTTTAATATTGTTTCTTTTATGGAGGGATTGAACATGTGCAGCATAATTAGTTAACAATTTAGCCGTTTCGAATTTTGTTGTTGAAGATGGTGTAACTGTTTTTTTAATGATTTTTTTTTGTGTGAAGATTGTGGGTTTTGTTTATTGTAGTCATAGATGCTTTATATTGTCTTTTGACAGATATTAATTCAAGCTATGATAGTGGGTACTGTTTCAAGTGACTCATCTTTACCCTCTCAAAGAAACAATTTGTCTGCTTCACAAACTTTGATCTCGTGGATATTAAGTAGTTGTATATATTGTAATAGAGGATGTGCCATTGATCTACATGTTTCAGTTATTATCTCAACTCATACATCACGTGTCATGTCATTGTACATCAATTACTTAATGATCATTAGACTCATAAAGCTGCAAGATTTTTTGTAAACTCTTTAACTGGACCAGTTCTTGTTTGTTTTGCTGTCAACGAAGTGGAAAAGCTCAATTTTGTATGATTAAGCATCTTGAATTGATTATAATTTCTGAATTCGGAAGGTTTCGTTTGTTTGCAGGGCTCGGCTGATACAACGCCAATATTGGGACTCATTTGCTGAAGTGAAATTTTTTCTTCTGCATGTAGAAACTCCTTTCCGTTTACCTGCTTAAAAACCAAAATAGTAAAAAAAAAAAGGAATAGAATGAGCTTCTTGGGAAAAGGGGCTTCTACAAGTGACAAAAAGCTAACTGCTGCAAAAGTACCATCTTTGAATCCAAATGCTGCAGAGTTTATTCCTTTTTCTCTCAGATCACCTGTTGGAGGCACAAGTAGAGTTGATGAAGTGTCTAAATTTGCCATACCATCAGTTTCAACACCAGGAAAAGCTGTACTTGATCGATCAGAGTCATCTGTTCCAAATGATTCAGATGAAGAGGCCCACCAATACTGGGACCACCAGCTCCCTGACGACATTACTCCTGACTTTAAGGTTATGGATGGAGATGATACTCAAGGGATCAATGGCTTAACCTTTTCAAGCTTATCCTTGCATGATATCAGTGAAAGCTCAAGATTCTCTGCTTCAACTGGCAGTGGCTTTATTTTAAAGGACGCTCAGGAATTATCTCCTCATCCGGGAAATGATAACAACTATGCTGAAAAGCTGAGATTTCCCGCCTCGTATGCAGACTATCCATCTCCTACAGGGTTTCAGCATTCACTTCCTCAACCTTGGGATAAGCAAATTGTCAATGACGATCAGATTCTTCGCAATGTTAATGAAGGGCCTCTATATAATGGAAATTCGTTTCATGGCTTCCTATCTGACATGTCAAATGAGCAGACATTACTGGAAAATACAGATATGAACCCTATAGATTTTTTGGCTTCACAATTCCCTGGTTTTGCAGCAGAAAGCCTTGCAGAGGTGTATTTTGCTAATGGAGGTGACTTGAACCTGACAATTGAGATGCTTACTCAGCTTGAGGTAGGCCCTATTTCTTAAGCTTTGAAATAATTCAGCAGCTTTCGCTTTGTTTTAGGTATCATATCTTGTAATCATCCTCCATAGATTTAAGTTGAATTTTCATCAACTTATTATCTGATATTCCCCCTGTACTTTTTCTTCTTCCCTATGCTGGATCTAGTTTCCAACTCCAGTAGTTTGTTCTAGTGACAAAGCTTCTTCCTGGTACACATTTAATCTAAAATGCAGAAAATCTAATTAAGACTCCAACTTCTTACTGGTTGCACATAGCTGTTAGTTATAATGAATTCTAAATGTAATAGAAATCTGGAGCCAAGGATAAATGTCATCTCTATATCTCTATATAAGTTGGCAGATGTCTTGGACAGAGTTATTTTATTTCGTGAAAGCATGCTACGGAGGGGAAATTGTGTTAAGAGCCAATGTCCATTGCATATGATTGCTTTTTGGGGTATTAACTTAAGAGCGTTAATGTAATCCTTAAAGATTAATGTGTGGATCATTGTGCCATCCATTCTTAGAATAGTCATATCCTTGGATAAACTGTTGGCATTATCTTTGTTTCATGATTTCAAGTTGTCTTTGGGCTCCTGTGTTCAACCTTCTGGGAATTTTGACATGTATTTTGGCAACTTTGTTGCCCAAGATATTTTACTGGTTTTATTTGTTTCAATTCTATATCTGTTGCTTCCTATCATCCAATCTTAATTTCCTCTGACGTTCGATTTTTATGTATCTTTTCAATCTTTGCTGCCCCCTAATTGCCTCGTGTCCTATTTGGATAATTTCTACCAAAGAATCTGTATCTTTCCTTTTATGGAGATATTTTTGATCGTTTGGTGTTGGCGCTAGTTTATCAGAACTGGCAACCGTTCATTCTTTGGACCACGAAACTGTTGGGGACTATATATGTCTTTGTGCCTGTGCTAACATGTGATTAGTGTTAAACTTCTTATTTCTAGTTCGAGTTCCTACTAAATCGTGTGTTATAATAGTGTAATAAATATAAGCAATGAACCTAGGAAGCATCGAGCTGTACATGAACACACGAGACACAGGCATGGACACGGCACTATTCAGGCTGGCCGACACGTGATTTTTCATGAAGTAGGGGACAACATGTTGGGGGCACGTATATTAAATAATGTTAATTTTTTTATTTTTTTCAATAGTGTAGAATCATTTTTGAAATTTTTATAGTCTTCCTAATTGTGCAGCTCTTTCTGCAAGATGAGTTAAGTCACCCGGGTCTTTTTGCTATTAGAGTTAAAAATGCATGGGTCTTTTGCAGTTGGAGATAAAGACGTGCCTTCCAATAATGTGTCTCATTTTCTAAATTAATGAAATGTATTGTGAAATAGGAAAACCATATTTTATGGCTGAAATTCCTTTAGTTCAAGACATACCATTACTTTGTAGGGTTTATAAATACAAGTTGTCTCCCTTCTCTCTTCCAATCACTTTCCATGTTAGTTTCTATTTTTCTTTCAAATTATTTACTGTACAAGATTTTGTCGGTGTCTCCGCATTGCTTATGCTGTGTCGAATATGTGTCCGATATAAAAACCTAAAAAGGTGGACCTGGTACTTGGCAAGTCCGACATGTATCGATACATGCCTGGTGCGATGGCGAGTGTTGGTATCTGATATATGTTAAATGTCCATATAAGATGAAAAGGAGTTATTTATTTTCAGAAGAGTTGGGGAAAGGGGAACGAGTTCTTTTGATGCCCTCTTCACAGGGAATGTATTTCTTCCTATTAGATTTTTGAGATTCCATAATGCATTTTGTAATTCTTATGCTAGTTTTTAGTTTCTCGGGGAGGTGATGGATGAGGAGGTAAATGCGATAGAGTCAAAAATTAAGTGATTTACTGATAATACATGAGGGAATGCCAAGCATTCTATGCTGTACTAGATAATTTTGTTTATTTAATTAGGCTTGCAACAGTTATTGTCCATTTCTTTATTTGGTATAATAAACAGAATTTGAGAGTAACTTCTTCCCTATTATTGTACTAGATGTGCGTGTTTTTTAAGCGATGTGCAGATATATTGGCAATTTTGACACAATATCCCATTTAGCTCTCACAGTACGAGTTGTGATTGCAGCTTCAGGTTGATGGAGGTTTCAATCAGAATCCAAATTCAAAGGCCTTGTCGGTTCCAAATCTTAGCGCATTGGATTTTCCTGCACTTTCAGGAACAGAAGGTCAAAATGGCTTGCCAAATTTTACTAATGATGATCTCCAGCAACACAGTAGTCCTTATCAGTCTTCAGGAAAGGAAAGCACACTTTTATTTAGATCTAGTTCTTCCAGAGGCGCTATAGATTTTGCTTCTGCCGTCAAGAAAATGGCACCTCAAGACTCTAGCATTTGGAAATACGGTACAAATGGTTCTTCAGGTACCAGCATAGGATCAAGTAGAAGTTCACAAATGCCCATGAGCTCTTACAACAGTGGCCAGGGGAGAGGCATTTATGGCGATAGGTTGCAAAATAGGGGATCAGCTCGTCCAGCTCCTGCCTGGCTTGAAACTGGAGAAGCAGTTGGTAATATTTTTGAGGCAATAAATTTCACTTGTTCTGCAAAACTTTAGTTGCAGAACAAATGCTTTTTATGTATATATGCTTTAACATTGTTGAGATGGCAGCAAATATGTATTCTGAAATGCGGGAGGAAGCTCGTGATCATGCACGCCTACGTAACGTATACTTTGAACAGGTATGGCATTTGAGTAGACATATAAAATTGGGAAAATGAAAAGAATGAGAAATGAAGAATGATATCTTCCTTAATTTGCATTCTCTATTACTTCTATTAAGGCTTTTGACTTGGTTTTCTTTTACTCTTCCACGTGGTGGGGACCACAATGTACACACTGCAACTTTGATAATATGTTATTTTGATTTGAGGGTAATGCATTTCTATGAAACATAATGTCTGATTATGAGCATGTTTGTCTACCCTTAAACAGTTCACTTAATAAGTAAATGAGTGCAGTGTTCAAGTAAAAAAAAGTATTTATTCTCAAGTTGTTGACCCGAAGGAAAAACTTACTTTTAACATAAATAGCCTTTTTTTTTTTTTTTTTTATTAACTTAAACATACAATAAAGCACATGTAAGAAATATTTAGAAGCCAAAAGTAACTCACTTCATTTATTTGAAAGTAACTTTTACTTTTCATATAAGGTTAGCGAAACATGCACATGTATTGTGGAAAGAAGTTGCAATGTTGTACACTTCGTTAGACACTGTTTCCTTCCTTCTTGTGAAATGTTCATTGGTCTTGAACAACATTTCATCCGAGTGCTTCACCTTCTAATTCTACTCTTCAAGATAAATTTTATGTGGAGAGAGTATGTTATTTGACCAGGCTCTCTCTTTCTTGGTGTGCATGTGTTGGTGTGTGTGAGCACCCACATTCTCACTTTTAAGAGTATAAGCAATTGCCCATTTGTGTGTGGGCTCCCCATAATTCGCATCTCCTCGCACTTGTCCTTTAAACTTGTTATATATGGATTGAAGAGTCATAATTTGTTCCGTTATGGATTTGGTAGATTGGCATTTGGCTTAAAACACGCTGCTTGCACATGTTAATGGATGTCGATACTTATCTTCGCCCCGCCCTACCCCAACCCGACCCTACCCTCCCCTCCCCTATTAAGTCTGAAGATCAATTGAAGAAAAGGAAAATAATGAAACCTGCACAACTTTGGTGATTGGCAACCTCATGCCATGGATCATATATTTTATTGAACTCTGCTGGCAGAACTACTATATGAAGTTTACTTTGAATGTATGTAAGCATTGGTGAATTGCCACGTCTTTCCTTGTGTTTGATCTATGTCTGCTGAAATTTGTGTATAAGATTAGGCACGACAGGCATACCTCATCGGTAATAAGGCTTTAGCCAAGGAGTTGAGCATTAAAGGGCAGTTGCACAACATGAAAATGAAGGCAGCTCACGGGAAGGCTCAGGAATCTATTTATCGTCAAAGGTTTGTGATTTTGTGGACCTTTTAACTGTTGTTCGTGTCTGAAGTAATTAAAAGAGGGCCAAAAGATATACTAGCAGAAGACCATAAAGAAAATATTCCACGTCCTAGAGATATAATCCTGCTATATTTTTAATATTAGGGTCCGTTTGATTACAAAGATGGAATTTGGATAGAAAGAAAACGAATTTCAGGGAATTGAATTGCCTAGAAATTGTTTTTCTGGAAATTGTCAATTTATTGTGTTTGATTGGTATAATTTTCTACGTGAAAAATGTTGAAATAAAAGTGGTTTTTAGTGTTCGTTTGGCTTTGGTTTACATAAAAATTGTCAATTAAAGGGATAGATTTTACTTATATTGAGAATGAAATTTGTTTCCATTGCCAACCAAAAAAATAATAATAATAAATTCAAGAAAATCATCTATCTTTTGGTGTTCGTTTGGCTTTATTTTACATGAAAATTGTCAATTAAAGTGAAATATTTTTTTACAATAATTCTTAAAATTTGTTTCCATTGCCAAATAAAAAAAAAAACGTAAAAGTAGGTTGGAAAACCAAGAAAAGAACATTTTCCAAGACAATCAAGAAAATGAAATTCCATGGAAAAAGTGTGCTATCAAACACTACAATTTGGGTGGAAAATGGAATTTGAATTTCATTTTTCATGAAATTGGCTCCTATCAAACACACCCTTAATTCTTATATTATTTGGTGGACACAAACACCATCCCGTGGACACATTTTCTGCCTGTAGCAAGGGTTTTTTTTTTTCCTGCATTGTGGGGGGTGAGGGGGACTTCTTAGAATTGTTGGGCAGCATTGTGGGCTTTGATGTCATTGTGGGTGTTTAATTATTTTGCAGGAATTCGGAGATACAGGGAAACGGGAGAGAGAAAATGATTGATCTGCATGGTTTACATGTGAGTGAAGCTATCCATGTCCTAAAGCGCGAGTTGTCTGTAATAAGGAATGCAGCAAGGTTGGCAAATCAGCGCCTGCTGGTTTACATATGTGTTGGGACTGGCCACCACACCAGGGGTTCCCGTACTCCTGCTCGACTTCCTACTGCTGTTCAGCACTACCTGCTTGAGGAGGAGGGTCTCGACTTCTCTGAACCACAGCCAGGGCTCCTTCGAGTTGTTATATACTGAGTCAAGATGGTATAGGAGTTTTTGACACATCATAACCCAGGAAATCGGTCAATCAATCACCAAAAAAAGGAAAAAGGAAAATTTGTTGTATCTGTAAATGGGAAAATCTGGAGTAGGACTACTCAGCACAAGAAAAAAGGTAGAACAAAAATGAAGGATGTTAAAAAATGAAAGGGGGAAACAATAAAAAAAAAAAAAGAAGAAGCAAGGGGGAGTTAGAAATCTGTATTGTTAATGTTTAGCTGGCCGACTTCAAAAATACACTTTTTATGCTGCATCGGCCTCTTTTTGTAATTTTGTAACTTCATTTTTTTTGCCTTTTGGTTTCATTTTTTTAAAATTTGCACAGATGTAAAACTGATAGAATTCGTTTACATAAGATGGCTCAAATTTCATCCAGCCTTCTGGAGTTTTCATACGGCTTGAGTTTTCATTTCAGGTTGCAGAGCCTGGAATGATATGCTTAAAGCCTTGGTCTGTCCAGGGTTCTTGGCGGCACGGCGTTTCGGACTTGACCTGAACTGCTGAATTTCAGTGATATTATGCTCGTTACAAAGTTGATAACTTTATTTTGCTTAACTTGGAACTCTGCATTGTGTCCACTTCCACAGGGCGAATGCGCTGGGGTTCTGGGTCAGTGAGCCTACTGGTTGGCTTATTTTAGAAAATTGTACATTTCATTCCTATACTTTAAAAAATGGATGTATGCATGTTTGAGCTCCATTTTTGTAATAATAGAATTTTTCCCCTTATTTTTTGATCACACTCGCTGATAAAATAATATTACATATAAATTAAAAATATTTTTTTAATTTTAAACTACACATTCTCTACAAAATTATTATTTGAAAACATATTTTTTTCTCAAAATTTAATTTTAATGAAGTCCAAACAGGGGCTATTATTTTATTGACACCATCCATCCTCGATCTTTTGGAAAATAAGTAGACAATCCCTTTTCACGGTTTCCATCCGTTTTAATCGTTAAGGTCACGTGAAACGACAATTTTTCTCCCTTCTTAAATAAAAGAAAGGCAAAATGGGAAAATTATCTCATTTAAAATAATTAATTTTATAAAAATGACAAAATAAAAAAATTTGTAAATTAAAATGTGTCATTTTCTTCACCTGTGTCCGTGCCTATAAAAACTATGTCCTTCACCTCATTTTCAATCACTACCGTCAACATCATGCTATTGTCAATTTGCCTACCTTCCCTTTGATTTCGCAATAAGACCAAAAATAGAGATATGGTCTCACATGCAAAACTAGACCAATCTTTGGATGACATGGTATACGAACGCTTAAGAATTTTAGTTAAAAAATGGATGTCAAATCGGTTTGGGGTTTTGAATGAAGCATTTGGTAAAGTTTAGTGGTGCCTGAAACAAAATTAAAGTTTAGTGGCTATGGTGGTACAAAGTGCAAAGTTCAGTGGCCATAAGTGAAATTTACCTATATTTGTGATGCTACAGATTAGGCCTGGGCAAAATAGTTGAAAAACGAACCGATTCGGGTCGGTTTGACACAGATAATTGATTTGGTTTGATTTTTTTTTTTAAAACAAAATCATGATTGATTGGATCAGTCATGGATTGAAACCTCAAATCATTGGTTAATTGAACAAACTTAATCCACTTATATGTTTATCTTTTTTTTTTAAAAAAAAAATTCAAAAGATAAGCTCTAATCTCATAAGTTATAACTATATCACGAATCTCTCCAATTTGTGATGTTGCCGCCGATGAGTAATAGTACCGAAAATTTTCTTTCACAAGATCATTATGTTGTAATTAGCATTATTCCCTACTCAGACAGCTACATTACATAATGAATCAAAAAGGCAACGAAATTCCTAAGTTTTTCTGTTGATCTGTTTCTATTAACCTGATTTTATTTGTTAGTCGATAATTTTTGTAATATAAAGTTATTTAATTATTTTAAATTTTATAATCTAATTGAGCTCAAAATTTGAACAATTTTTATTTATTTATTTTTTATAAATTCAAGTTGAACTAAAAGTCCAAAGCGATCAACTGAACCAAACCGAGTTTTAGAGTTACTGTGGGTTGATTTATATTGACATTCACCCAAACCGACTAAACTGATTTTGATTTCAAGTTGGAGTCGAAACCAATCCAAATGAAATCGCTGCCAGGCCAACTGATTTGGAGATAGACATCGTGTATTTTGACAAGTAAAGCTCGAAGAGGAAAACGAAAATGGCTTCTGCTTCTACGTCTATCGGTGTATCCATTGCACTCCACCGTACAACTTCCCACAAAGAAACCCTATTTCTGGGCCCTCCCAGAACCACTATAAGTTATCCTATCTTGCCACATCATCCCTCTTTCCGCACCTCTGTCCTCACTTTTTCCCGCCGCCGCCGGAACACCACTGCCCCCTCTCCCATGGCTTCCAAGAAAGTCAACAAGGTATTCACAACAACAACAACAAATAATAGTAAACTTCAAATTTATTTTTATTTTTTTAGTCGGGAAGAAAAATAAAAATAGAGAATTAAAGGGGAGTTCGGTTTTTATTTTCGGGTTTTAGAATTTTAGCTGTGAAATTTTTACATTTATTGACAGCTGGAAATATATAATAAATATCTTTTTTCTTTTTTTTTTTTTTGTTACAAATGCATTTGGTTAAATATGCATTTAACTTTATGTAATGGAAGTAAATAATGAATTTTTCTGAGGGGATTAATTTATTTTGTGGCCTTTTGAGCTCCATTCTGTACATGAATGTATGCGTATAATTGTGTTTGTGACTTGGAGCAATGCTTATATGTAGATACCAGGTTCAATATCAATGAATCAGTGATAACGAATATTGGTTGGTTTGGTATTTAAGATAATCATTGGTTTTTTTTGTTACATGATTTTGCACAGAAAAAATTGACTCACAAAACGGTCAAAGAAGATGATAATATAGATGAAGATGCTTTCGATTCACTTTTCCACATGCTTGAAGAAGACTTGAAAAATGATAATTTATCTGTAAAAGATGGTGAAGACGATGATATAACTGAGGAAGAAATGTTGAAGCTCGAGCATGAATTAGCGGAGGCTTTGGCAGATGATGAATTATTAGGGGCACTTGCTTCTAATGTAGGTGGAGAAACTGAGAATGAAGTTGAAGAAGAAGATGATGATGAAAATGAAGGTGAAAGCGACGATGATGAAGAAGAAGAAGAGGAAATGCCTTTAAATCTCAAGAATTGGCAACTTAGGAGATTGGCATATGCTCTTAGAAATGGTCGGCGTAAGACTAGTGTAAGTTATTTTTTACTAATATTCTTTAGGTAGTACTTGTTATATTGTTGCGGATGCATACCACTTCTTGGTTGTAAACTTAATCTTTCGCATGTGTGTACAAATCAGAGCACTGAGAACCATTATTATTCTCTACTTCATGTGCAATATGATTTTAATTATGTAAAAATAGTTCCAAATTGAGTAAAACAAGGAGCAGAAACTTTCTATTTAGTAATCTAATTTCTGATGTTTACTTTTGTGATGATCGTACCCTCTTGACTTTTCTTTCTGAATATGTGGATATTGATATGCAAATTAAGGTCATCAAGGCATATTAGTTTTCAGTCTGGTTTTAATCTGCCTACTTGAAAAAAAGAAAAAAATTACCTATATTGACTTGGACATTTTTAGCATGTGCTCTTTGTTAAAGGTATGAATATTGATTGAATCCAAACTAATCTGCTTCATTTTGCATAAGCTGCTTCTCTGTTAAATGCGTATCCCACTTTGGACAAAAGTTGATATTCTTCTTAGTAGTTTGCCTATAAATTGATGTTTGGAACAGTTCATATAACCAATTTTTATTTTAGTCATCTTTTGTTCATGTTTCTTCAAGTATCTTCTGTAGTTATATATTTATTAATTAAATGAAATTCCTGTATAGCAATATAATTTGTTTTTCTTAAGTTATCAGAGATAACTTTCAAAAATAGCAGAATATTCAAATAATAGAAGCAGAGCTTTTTATCTTTGTACAGTAACATACTCCCGATGAATATCCCTCTATCTCTATGTAGATCTCTGATATTTGTTCCTTTCTTTTATGCAGATAAAAAATCTTGCTGCAGAACTATGTCTTGATAGAGCTGTCGTTCTTCAATTACTTCGTGACCCTCCTCCAAATCTTGTAATGATGAGTGTTGCTTTACCAGATCAACCTGTTTCAACAATCTTGGAGCCTGCAGAGAAAACTGATACAACTGTTCCCACGGGCACACTCCCTATGAACACAACTCGTGATGGAAAGCCGGAAACTGAGGCGAAACTGCCAGTTCATGTTATGCAGAATAACTGGTCTGCTCAAAAAAGACTGAAGAAAGTACAGCTTGAAACTCTTGAACAAGTCTACAGACGTACAAAGCGCCCAACTGTGAGTAAAATTAGTTCCATTTTCAATCCATATATTGATAGAAGTTTTATTAATGTGCCCTCAAATAGATCAGGATAGAGAATGTAAACCGACTGCAGTCTGTAGATGGCATCTCTAGGTTATTATGATGAAGAACAGTTGTAGAAAATAGAAATGGAGAACGTGTAAGTTGACGGTTAATCGGACTAACGTGGTTATAAGTTAATCAGGACTCACCTGGTTCTGATTTTGTATTAGATTGGTTGTAGGTTAATCAGGACTCACCATCTATTTGGATTATATTGTTTTAGATATTTTGATAAGTTTGTAGTTTATTAAGCCCCCTGTTTGAGCCCCAAATTTTTAGAATAGATTTCGTAAAGAGAGAATTTTGTTTTTTTTTTTTGGAGAATGCTGGGTAAAGAGTAAAGGTTCAAGTCTACTGGTCTATTAGGATGCCTCAGTTGCATACATCACTGCAACTGGAAAAAAATGGTTTTCGCGGGCGAATATTTACTCTTTCAATCTCTATTTCATTTGTAGGGCTCATTCGTGACTTCTCCCAATAGATGAATAATCTCCAGTTCATTTCGCCATATCGGAATCTTTGAGTGTTTACGTGCACAATTATTTATTGGAAAAATGTATTATTGAAATTGAATTTGGAGAAAAATAAGTTTTAAAAAATGGGTCTTAAACAGGGGCTAAATGTCCCCTCGAATTTAGACCCTTGCTTTTTAAAGGAGGACATAGGATTTCAATGGATTGTGATTATTGAATTACTGATATATTGAAATTGTCCCCAAATTTTCGTCTTGCTCTTCTTCCTCTTTCTATCTCTCTTCTCTATTTCTCTCTTATTCTCTCTATTCCTTCTCCTTTCTGCTCTCTTTGTATCGAGTTGTGCTTCAATTGGTATTATAGACTACTGTTTTCTCTCACCAGATTCTCATGAAAGTATTGTTCTCGTAGTGTTCACCATACTAAAAAAAAAATTGAAAAGCACC